ATCTTATGATTCATTAATAAACTAATTTTATCTCTGTGTATGATACGAAAGAGATTAGTTCGATTAATGTTAGACACGAAGCAACTTTGTTATTGTCAGCGGTGTGCCATTCTCTTTTTTTCTTCGTGAAAGAGGACGTTTCGCGCGTGAGACATGCATGCACTAATTTTGATTTTTTGTCGATTGCACGCGATCGATAGCGAACTCACGCAATGCTCGTAATTCTGTAAGACCTACATTCAGGTCATCGAATGGCAAGTAATACGATGCAATTTTCTACCGAGGCTTCCTCGTGGCGACAAAAAAGAGGAAGAAAAAGAAGCTTGTAAAAGTTCGCTCGCGTCATTCCTCTTTAAATTCACTTTCGATGTCATCGCTGGATGCGATCGGAACTCATTGCACTAATTGCTACTAACGATGGAAAAAATTATTCTTTGTTATCGCATCGCCATCGTAAAGTACATTTATCGATGTTCTATAAATAGCACTCGTAGTATTGCCAGAACAATGAAAAAGAAAAGAAAGTCAAAGGAAGAAAAGAAAATATATAGAAAAATATATAGAATTTGGATTACGCTTAAATAAAAATTCGATGCTGCAAAAATGCGACACATTTTGTGTAATAAATTACATGTTTTGTTCGTGTTTCATATCGAGTTACTTTATGCTGAATCATACCCTCGAGGATGGCTCAATTAATTATAGCTTTTTGTGCGTTTACTTGTGCATTGTATAATACAACTGATGTTGTTAGATTTGATTAAGACAAGCATATATTTTAGTAACGTTGAAAATCATACAAATTCTTTCTCTCTCTCTCTCTCTCTCTCTCTCTCTCTCTCCATACCTTGCTTATTCGAAAATTGAGATTCATTGCACGGATTGTTAGAATTTACGAGCGAAGCAAAAAGACATATTGAGGGTAATGGTGGATAACTCGCAATAACGACAATGGTTTTCCGCCAGAGCATAGTTTATAATAATGTTTATTTATCACATAACAATTTTGAATTCACCTATGGCAGATCGCAACGTGCAATTGTCACGTGCATTAGTTTATCGATAAGCTACACTTCCTGGATGTTGATCCATTTACCTGCTTTATACAAGCGGTTTGCCAATGAGATATAGGTTGATAGAAAAACATACATTAAACTTTAAAGCTGATGAATTCCAGTAAGAATTACTGTACGACATGTCACGCTTGAAATATTATTCCCCGGATATTTATAAATAATAAACTGGCAAAAATGACGGCATTAAAAGAGGAATAAAACCAATGCAGTAATATAAAAGTCAGCTTGATTATGATCTTTCATATTTGTCTTTCATATTTGAGTAATTATTAGAAAGCCAGAAACGTCGCGTTTTCATTTCTTTGACTTAACGATCATTAAGAGAGAAAATGCGATCGAATTTATTTCTTGAAAAAACAAGAAACGAGGAACGATCTTGAAGTGGCGATAATAACGATATGCGTGCGTGCCGTTTAAGTCACGAAAGAAGTGCTGGATTGAAAAGAGTTCAAGTGCCAACGGAGAGACTGGTACTAGTCGATAATCAATGATGCGATCAGCTTTCGAAATAAATTCCGCTCGTAGACACACCTGGTACAGCCCTCCAGCAGTGCCTCCCTACTTTAAGACGCTTTTATCGAGCAAGTTTTTATTTGGAGGAGGAACAAAAAAGCTTTACACTCTTTACATAAAGTGCCATCTTATTAGTCATACAAACTCTCGCCCAGATAACATGTCTAAAAAATGTCTTTACGACGTATTAAAATCAGAATAATAATAAATAAATAATATAAATTGTAATAAACACATTAGTTAGAAAAAAATAATAGGACTAATATATTAATTTTAAAATATATTAATTAAACCGTAGAAAAATTGCCTCAATGATATGTATATTCAAAGGACGTCATGAAAACATCTTCATGACGTGTTTTAGACATGTATTATTGAGATAATCATTTTGCATTTTAATTAACACATTTCAATTTGAATATATTACTTCCTAGTATTATTCATTCTAATTAATGTGTTCATTACAATTTGTATTCTTTATTCGTCATTACTTTTTCCAATCTGATTTTAATTATTATTGCAATTATTATTATTTAAAATTTAAGAGTTTCAGGTATCTTAGATTTTGTTGTAACAAAAAATATGTTAGAAACAAATGTAAATAAATAAAAGTAAATAAATTTTCAATTGCTTTTATAATTGAAAACCACCCACCCGTCTTCTATTCTTTCCTTATTTTTTAGAAACTTTCGTTACACCACTGAAGGAGTTTTCACAATTTCCACAGTAATTTATTCATTTCTAAATACTAATAATTATAAACGACAAGTATAAGAAGAAAACGATTTATCGATTATTTGTATTAAAATTTTTATGGAAATTTGTGTAATCTGATTTTAAATTACAGTTTTTGTGAGCCCTTAGTGAGAGTGAAGTATAGAAAGAAAAGAGCTTTTTTTTACTTTAATTAACAATAGTAGTACAGTACGCGTGTAGTTGCTTAATGCGTAAATATTCTACGTGCGTAAACATGTCTACAATATCTACTACTACGATGTGTGATTAAACTATTAATTTGTATTGTTGTATAGAGCAGTCAATTAGGAATAATTTATTGAGCAGCAAGGTCTACGAATTACATAAGCGATATTTCTTCAATGGCAAGATCGACTGCATTGATAATTACCACGATGATTGAACAGTGACTGTGACAGCAGCTTGCGTTATTCCAGTGACTATTTCTCGTACACGATAAGCTTACGTCACTTTAATGCATAGCTACTTAGGGTCTAAAACACCCACGAGCTCAATTAATTTTCGGGCGCAGGCAAGAGGTCATCTATGTCATTTAGCCTCATTTACGAACCGGAAAGTAACGCATATTATTCAATGTATCGTCCGGCTTTCAAATTCTCGAATGACACTATCGCGTTTAATTATCCGGTCGACGACATGTCTTGATCTGAACGCTATTCCCGTGCGCGGATCAGATACTAGATCAGATCAAATTAGTATAAAATTCATCAAAAAAAAAAGGAGCGACGAAGTTCGCTTATTACGCACTGGTAATAACTAATTTCGTATCTCGCCGAGGATGAAGACAATTGTTCAAACACGTAAGTAGCATTTACCGAATATGGGCAGACAAGGGGAAGAGCTCTGCGACGACGTGGCTCTTCGTTTCGGAGGACTCTAGGAATTATTTTTGGACTTGTCGATTTGGATGACGTCGCGACCTGGTCCCGTTGGAAAAGTCAGCTTACCTGGCGTCGTCGGTTTCACTTTCGTCGAGCCTCCTCGACCTACGTCGGCTCGTGAGTCACTAAGCTCGCGCGATACCCTGCGGAAGCCTCTTCGGCAAAGAACGTACGAAGCTCTCGTTCGGTCGGCACGTTTGGGCCGCTGCCGTCCGTTTGTCCTGCCGTTTCTCTGCTCCTGCGCTCCAACGCCCGGACTCAACCTTACCTTGCGCACTACCACTAGACGATTCTGGTCTACTATACATACAAGGCGGATCCGCGAGAGACAATCTACCGATAAATTATGTACGTTCTCGCGCACGTCTTTCGTGCAATTGAGCTTTTTACGCAATGTTTCAAAACGGCATGGTCCTACATATCTTACTATATACTTATCTGCATCCGGAGAATGTAACAAAATTTGGCAAGTTTATGACATACGTGAGAATATCATGTATGCAAATTCTATTTATATTTAAGTTTCTTTTATTTATTTAGGCTGTCTTGAGTAAGAGACATGCGACTGTGCATTGTAAATCTTGGACAACCTAGGAATCTCTTCTATTTTACGGAAGAATGTAGATACGTGCTTTTGAGCATGTTATTTCTTACGGGGCCATTACACCGTAGTTTGTACATCGTCTCAATCATTGCGGATTTGTGTTCGATAAAACAAGCGTGCCAAATGTTCCAACGATTGGGACGCGTTCCAACAATCAAGACGTTGCTCCGATGATTACTAATAAGAGGGCGAAAGTTATAAAGGAATAATTAGATAGTTTATTTTTATTCCTGATTATTCCATTAATTTACGCTTTCACTTGACAAGATACTTGTTCGTGAATTTTGCGCACATTTTTGTTAAAGATTCTCAAACAAGAGATTGGATCTTATATACGTTTAATCCACCATATTTTCAGAATGAGACCGTATAAGATAAAGTGAAATCCACGCATCTCATTCTATTTTATGTATCTATCATTTTATCTTAAACAAGTCTTGAAAAATAGCGGACCAATTCAGAAATTATTTAAACGATGTCCAATTTCTTGAGGATCTTTCATTATTGCGAAAAGTGCTCGTCATCTTTTGGTATCTCTAGAAAGTTCATAAATGCAATTTAAATACCCGTTTCAATTACATTATTCTTTTTTATGGCAAAGCAGATTTTGTTTTATTTATCTCTCACATGTAACATTTGCTGGAGTAGAGCGTGAGTAAAGTCAGAGACGCACCCTTGCACGCGGTCACTTCAATTCCAATGTTATTACCTTAATGCGCCGGGCACGGCCGTATTAGTACGTATTCGTTGGAATGGGAGGAGTTCATTCAAAAGCTAGGGAGAGAACCCGTACACTTTCCTATTCTTACCAACGATCTTGGCACTTACGATATTGTTAGTAACGTTTCCACGAATTCGTCACTTAATTTAGCAGTGAGTAACAACTGTATGGGAACAAATCGTGAAATAAACGCTCGTATTTCCTATCGCTTCTTTGTGTTCATTAGATAATACATTATTTTAAACAGAAATAAAAAATTATTGAACGCAATTACTTATATTGTAAAATAGAAAACTTAAGCATGATAAGCAATGCTTTAACACATTTTAATAATTTTAGCAATCAGCTAGAGCTAAGCAATTCTTTTAATAGTTCAACAAAATTATTTTCAAATTTGTATCTATATAGTTAAATTTTAATTAATTAAATTTAGTTATAAATTAGACACTTCGGCCAACCATTTTTTTCTATGTAAGAATCCCAAAATATTTAGCATGACAAGTTTTATACAGTGATAAAATTTCATTGGATCTATTGTTAAATAATTTTCCTGTCGCAATTTTCTAAAACAGTTATTAACAGGTAAATAGTTTAACATGATTGCAAGTATTTTAGTGCGAATTAGCAATTAGAATTAAAAGCTAATTATATTGACGCGGAAAACCCTCAACGATGGCCGGCGCTTGGAGTCTTTTGACATCCGTGAGACGTTGTCGGTATAGCTTTCCCGAGAATCCTGAGTCGATCTTTCATTGCGCCTCGTCGTATTACCTCGTCTCAGAATTATCACAAGACAGATCGCTATTCGTTGGCGGGGGCCTAACTTTTCTCCGATCTGAAAACAGTTTGGCCATTCATTCGGTGTTACAACCCTCGCCATGGATGCCTCAACTACGATGCTATCGACGAGCAGACCGTCTCGAGTGCAGTCGCGTCTTGGAGTCGCCGCATCTCGTCTGCAGAACGTGCCGTTCGAGATCGATCGGTACGCTTCCTCTCCGTAGAAAGAGAGAGAGAAAGAGAAAAATGTAATATCTGTCTTCTCAAAGAAAAGAGACGATTCGAGACTTTGCTTCGGTGTTTTATTCGCGCGATGACGTACGCCCTGAAGGGAAGAAGTCGACTGTAACCCTGTTGCCCTTACCTGGAAGAAAAATTTTTCGATTATTATCAGGATCTGCAGGATCGATGATAACGTGAATGAAAGGCGGCATGCAAAATCGATTGCACGGTTACGAATTGCTCAGGTGGACGTAAAATTACAGAGATGTATGAGCGTAGAATTTGACGGCTGTTAAGCGTTATGCGAAATTGGTATAATGCTAATGTCGTGGTTAAGAAATCGATGCCTTGCCCACGGCAGGAGTGAAAATGCTAGTACGGAGAAATCGTTTATCTACAATGTATATACATATAGTTGTTGTAACATATAACTGTCGTGACCCAGTGACACATAGGAAATTCACACATTAATAATTTTCCTGTCATATACATTGTATATGATGAGCAATATATATAATGATCTTTCTGAGTGATTAGCTGTTATTAAGTGCCAAGAAATGATTGTCTGAAATATCGTTTTATTTTGATATGTAAAATAAATAAATGTGTAAAAATTGCCTTAAAGTTAAAAATTGAAAATTATTAATTTTTAAGGAAAAAATATTTTCTAAAATAAAGTAAAAATTTTAATTTTATATAATACATATCGATTTGAAATAAAATGGTTCGATACAAGGAATCATGGTCTTGTGCAAACCAAATGGTTAACAAAACAGTTTTATTAATAATTAATCCTCTTACATGTTTCGGCTTACTTTTGAGCCATCTTCAGAGACAGTATGATGTAATCACAAAAAAATTTTTTTGGCTCAAAAGTGAACCGAAACATGTAAATGGATTAATAAATTGTTTTCTTTACCGTTTGGTTTGCACAAGAATTACTGTGCTTGACTTCCATTGTATCCAATCATTTTGTATCATTAAGTCTTTAGGAATTAATTTATATTAAATATCGACTTGATTTAAATATATTTTAGATATGCATGATGAAATATTTTATGAAGATAATTTGTAATAAATCAGTGCCTTAATGAAACACAATCAAAGGAACAAGGATGATTTTGTCATATAGATTTAACCCTTCGGTTGCATGTCACTGTTGTCACCGATGAACGATCGTTTGAATTTCCATTGTTGGCCTACACTATCGTGTCACGCAAAATCGATCGTTCGCAATTAATAGAAGCAATTTAAATAAATGTGAGATCGCGAAGCAAATACGAAATGGCATATTATCGAAATTTTTATCAAAATTTTAATAACTACGAATTCTGTTACTGTGTATTTATATTTTCATTGACATGTCATTTGTAATTATATATAAATATAATAAATCTAAAATTTAATAACTGGGATTACAGCTTATATAATATAATCTCTCCATTTGTTAAATTATATTTTTGGAAAATGTAATTGCTCTGACTTGTAAAATTCAATTTCTGTATCCACTGATTGTACTTTCGTGCCAGATGAATCATATGTAATACTTTGATTATTTATTCGTATAGTTTATAAAATTAATTTTGTTGGAATTAATTTTTACTGTGAGTGATCAAACCCACGTATGGTATAATTGAATTAGTATACAGTCGGTAGAGCAAGACTAGATCAATAAAGGAATTTCTTCAGTAGGAAAGCACAGCTTGCGGCAAGCTCAAATGTTTAAAACGCATATCAGTCGAGTAAAGTAGGTGATATGATACCGACAGAGTGTAAAGCTTTCGCTTATCATAAACTTTCGCATCCCATACTTGTGTGTTTATTAGTTGCCTGAAGCACCAATGTGCGCATCAAGTAATTCTTTTTTGCGAACTATTTTATTTTAAAATAAAAATATATAAATATTTAAAAACTAATGCATTAGTATATAATTATATCTCATATCTACATTATTTGTATTTAAAAATAGTTTATTAATATTATTTGGTGGGACTTTAACTATAATTTCTATATATAATAATTATTATATCATTCAACAGAAATGGTTTATAAATATAATTATCGATTAAATTTCATAAGTAAACAATTTTTACTCCTATTTAAAAAACATTTTTTCCCCACTTATTGTAATTTTCTTCGTAAATAAATTTACAAAAAACAAGCTTTAACTTGTTTCAAGAGAAATAAAGATAAAAGAAGAAAACAGTTCTTTCTTTTGAGTAAGAGTTCTGAGCAGCCTTGTGTTTACTCGAAGAGCATTAATCCACCCCACGGAAGCCCTGCAAGATTCCCTCTTGAAACGTGTCCAGTGGACAGTCTCTTATACCGATGGGAATCGATAGTCTCGCCTGTCTCTTATCCCCGTGAACGTTATGTGGTCACAAAGCTCGTCATTGATATTTATTATATGATAAGCTAAGGAGATGCAAAATTGATATCTGCATGCTCGGGCTTCCCTAGCAGACTAATAAACATGAACATTGCGCAATCTTAACGCGTTCTCTAATATTACGCGATATTACGCGATAATATGTGGTTTATCTAATATTCTCATATTTCATAATATTAGTTTAGATTTTAAGTTTACTATACATTTTTTAATAATCTCTAACTTTGCATAGGTTTCCTCTTTTGTGAAAAAAAACTTCTTTTTTGATTAAAAAAGAAATTGGTTTGATTCTTGATGTCGCAACGTCACAATAGATCATTTCTACAAATATTTAAAGCAATGATCGTTATGATCGCGATCTTTTTATACTTTCAACACATATAATAATTCGTCTCATGAAATTTGATTGTAGGCGTTTCTACATAATAATTTGTATATAATAATAAAATTTTCTAAATATAAAAAATCTTAAGTGACATCCATCAGCAATGTGCCAACATTATAAGTATGTTATTTTTTTATGTCTTTGAAACTTTTTAAAAACCTAATTATATATTTATACGAGTATATTAAAATATTTATACGTATTTTAAGTACCATCTAATTTATGATGCTTTAATATTATATAATATTATATAATATACAATAACATATAAGTTTGCGATTAAATTTATATTTTATTTAACTTAGAAAATGCTGTTGTAAATATGCAATTGAATATATTAGAATATATAATATTTATTTAGAAATTTATGTATCTAAAAAATATTATATATTTATCTATAGAAATTAACTACTTTTTGTCATATCTTTTTTTTTAACATTAAAGAGAGATATCTTATAACATAACAACAATTTTAGACAGTAATCAAATGTAAAATAATCAGTAAACAGGCCGTTATGTCTATATTGTATGTTTGGAATTAGTCGGTGGATAACGAAAAGGTGACACGCTGCTATTCTTGGCGCGTGAACCGGTAGACCGGTAGATACCTGTTTAAAGCCATTGGATTCGATGAAGACGCAGTCATGCAATCACGCATGTACAGACGCACGCATTCACGCACGCGCTTTTTGCTCTTCTCTTTCGCTCTCTACTCCTATTTAGAATCTTTAGCACGAATCTATTGCTATCGAAAGATCTCTTGCCTAAATACGCAAATAATTTGAATTCAACGACAACATTTAACGTGCCATTATTTCAAAATTATTGTTCTAGTTTGGATATTGGATAAATAAAAGAGTAAAAGAGTAAAAGAGTAAGAACATAAAAGAATGAAAGAGTAAGATAGTAAGCTAAAGTTTATCAAAAGGTGGAACAATCTAGTCTTAACAGTACAAATATAATATAACACATATAATTATATTATTATATTATTGAATGTAAAATTATAATATTGTTATGTGTCACTTTTAATTGGAGAGGGGGGAGATATTTATTGAAAGATTTTATATTGAAAATTAGTAATTATAACAAATAATTACTTTTTATTTCTTATTATTTAATTATTTATAATTATGATCTCATGTTCATAAATGCAAATGGGATTTTTTGAAAAAGAATATAAACAAAAATAGCTACGTTGTTTCATCATGCCTCTAATAAAGTAACGTGCACACGTTCGTCTATATTTGCACAAAAACGATCTTTGATTAAAGATAGCAATGATTGTTAATTGAACCGAGAGTTTTTTTTAACATAGCGAGTAGCTCGCGACTGCCGGTTGCGTCAGTAAGGCACGAACAATTAAGCGATCGAGACGACGATCTGGTCCATTAGTCGCTTGTCGTAAAATTATCGGTAAGGCGATATCACGTAATGGCAATCCTATGCACAGGCAATCGGTCACGCCTCGACATCTCGACATACAATAATGACAATTGCCACGGGTGTGTCCCATCGATCTTTTCAAGCAAATTAAAGACGCTCACTGTCTCTTTACTGTCTTTTATTAAACGCATTACGAACGACATCGAGCAATCGTATAAGACAATCAGTAATTTTACGTGTCACACGATATGGAATACTTCATTCATTTTAAAAGGTCTTCACGATAATTATAAGAAATTATCTAATGTATCTTCTTCTGTTAGCTCAGATAAATGCATTGCGAAAAATGTAAAAATAAATTTTGATGTCGCAAATTACTCTTCATATCTTATCCATTTTTTATCCTTGATGATAACGCTAAAACGCTTGTGCAATTACGCATGTAAATAATTTTTAAAGACATTAATTTTACTATCAACAATATATTCACGTTTCTACTTCAGTGTATTTTAATTACTGAGGGTCTCTTTCACCAACCGATTAACACTAATCGATGGTTAACACAATCATCACAATTGCCAACGTGAGAATTAAACACAATTTGTCTTAGAAGAGGAAAAGAGAGGAGACGTTCTGATACATATTAAACTGCTGTTGGCACTTCTGTGAATTGATCGATTAATTTAAGAAAAAATTAATTAATTTTTTCACCAGAAGTTGGTGAAAGAGGCCCTGAGGGTCGATTCCGTATATTTTGAAACAAGATAAAAATGATAAAAGTGTCCAAATTTACTGTTAATCAAATAGATGTTAATAAAATTATAAATATCCTAGTAAATTTGTTCACTTTTGTAATGTTCATTTCGTTTCAACATACAGAATTGATATCTTGATTTAGAATTCGTGTCTCGTGGGCTTCCTTTTCATTCTCAAAGGATCGCAATCCAACAAACCTTTAAACGTCCGACGCAAACCGACTCCA